TGTCTCTTATACACATCTAGATGTGTATAAGAGACAGTCCCCCTTCTGTCCCCCCCCCCCTTCAGTTTTCTCCTTCCTTTCTCCTTGTGTCTTTATCTTCTGCTCCCTCACCCTCCACTTTCTTCTCCCCCCCTTCTTTTCCTTCCACCCCCCAGCGCCCTTTGCCTATTCTCCACCCCCTCCTTCCCCTTCTTTGCCCACAACGGCTTGCCCCTCTTCCTTCTCTCCCTTTTTTTATTTTGCTTTTTTTTTTTTTTTTTTCGCATTCCTTCCCGCTTATCTCTAATACTACGGCATCCTTCATCCTATTTCCCTGCCAGTCATCTCCCTCCTCTACCTCTATTGAAACACATTTTCCTCCAACCAGTGCACGTGTTTATCCTTGTGCTTACAAGTGTGTGTGTTTGTGGCTGTTTTTGTGTTTGTATGCGTGTGTGGGTAGGTGGGTGGGTGCATGTTGGTCTGTGTTTGTGTGTGTTCTCGTGTTCTTTTTCTTCTTTTTCTGTTTGTGTGTGCGGGTGTGGATATGGATGTGTGCATGTGTGCATCTTGTGTGTGTGTGTGTGTGTGTGTGTGTGTGTGTGTGTGTGCAGGGGGGGAGGCGTGTTGGTGTGTTTTCATGAATGTGCATGTTTTCTTCTTCTTCTTCTTCTTCTTCTTCTTCTTCTTCTTCTTCTTTTTTGGTCGTTTTTGTGTGTGTGTGTGTGTGTGTGCGTGTGTGTGTGTGTGTGTGTGTGTGTGTGTGTGTGTGTGTGTGCATGTTGCATACGACATCCCACAGGTCTTGGAGGCTGACATGGCCATTCTGGATGAGATAGATTCAGGATTGGATATTGACGCATTGAGAGACGTCGCGAATGCTGTCAAGGGCTTACAAGGACCGCAGAACGCAGTGCTGATGATCACACACTACCAGCGGCTTCTCGATTATATCGAGCCAGACTTCGTACACATAATGGTAGGTGGAATGTCTGTGCAACCGTCTGCGGAAGATGAACACTAAGTAATTAACGCTCCGTAGTAATCGACCATGGTCAGCAATTCATTGGTATGGTGCTTGGCTCACAGACACAGGGGCAATCACCCCTGTGTCTGGCGCTCGCCAAGCTGGTGGACGAACGAAGCACACACAACACGGAGGGGATGGGCGTTCGGTGTGGGTGATCGCATCAGGTCCTTGTTCCTTGCTTCTTGCTCTTGTGAGCAAGGATCCAGGAAAACTACCCAATAGCCAATAGCCAATAGCCAATAGCCAACTGGCAATATGCACAACAGCTTGCTTGTGCACGATCATTGTCACTGTGAGTTGTAAGCATCTGCAGTCGGAGTGCAGCTGACATGATCTCTCTGCCATAATCTGATTGCAGTTAAAAGAGTATTTTTGAAGTATCATCCGTTGGCTACTGGCTATTACTGGCACAAATGACTATGGGCCTCCCCGCATGAGGGGGAACGGAGTGCAAGTGCCGCCAGGAGGAAGGATGTCCTCCTGGCGTTGATGATTTTTTTTTTTTTTTTTTTTTTTGTCAGTTGTCAGTTGATCAATACTAACTGACATTTCTGTGCAGGGGGGGGGGGGAAGGTTGGCCATCCCCAGGTGGCGATCCACAGCAGGGCTCGCTGCCACACTGATCGCCACAACCCGTAGACCAACCCCACGGATCGCCACCCAAAATTTAGGAAAAAAAAGTGAAAAAGGAAGAGAAAAGAAAAAGATGGGGGGGGTGTGGGCAACCTTCAGGGATGGACCCAGCTGGTCTCTGTCTGCTCGAAGCTGACATGAATGTGGTCATTGTTCAGTATAGATTCATGCTAACTTAGCACAGACATAGCGCCAGTGGCGCAGACCTTTACCAACAGTACGAGCAGCTCTCGTGTCAACAGAAAAGTCTGAAAAGATACGCTAACAACTTAGCCTTGGCTACAGAGTCCCGATTTTGCAGTCTTCTTATGAGACTCTTCCTAAAATGGAAAACCCACTCCACAGTGCTCGCACTGTCTCTTATACACATCTAGATGTGTATAAGAGACAGGATTGCGACATGTATATCTGCGACATCAACCACCA